TTTGAATACTTCTTTTCAGTTTGCAGAAAAAATCCTGACAGACCAGCCTATCACCTGGTTAATTCCAATTGTTTTTTCAAATGTTAATGTTTAATGTTTAATGTTCTAATATTAATTATTAGTTATAACATTGATAATTAATTAGGATAGAGCTCTGAAGATGTGCTGTGTGGTATCTGACACCAAGACGTTAGCAGCAGGTCCTTTAAGTCATGTATGTTGCGAGGTGGGGCCTCCATGGATTGGACTTGTTTATCCAGTACATCCGACAGATGCTGGATCTGACTGAGATCCGGGGAATTTGGAGGCCAAGTCAACACCTTGAACTGTTTGTCATGTGCCTCAAACCATTCCTGAACAATTTTTGCAGAGTGGCAGGATGCATTATCCTGCTGAAGAGGCCACTGCCGTTAGGAATACCGTTATCCTGAAGGGGTGTACTTGGTCTGCAGCAATGGTTAGGTTGGTGGTAGGTGTCAAAGTAACATCCAGGATCCAATGTTTCCCAGCAGAACATTGCCCAGAGCATCACACTGCCTCTGCTGGCTTCCCTTCTCCCCATAGTGCATCCTGGTGCCATCTCTTCCCCAGGTGAGTGACGCACATGCATCTGGCCATCCACATGATGTAAAAGAAACCTTCTTCTATTGCTCCATGGGCCAGTTCTGATGTTCACATGCCCATTGTAGGTGCTTTTGGCAGTGGGCAGAGGTCAGCATGGGCACTCATGCTGCCCCATATGCAGCAAGCTGCGATGCACTATATGTTCTGACACCTTTTTATCAAAGCCAGCATTAACTTTTTTTAGCAATCTGTACTACAGTTGCTCTTATGTGGGATCGGACCAGACAGGCTAGCCTTTGGGCGCCCATGACCCTGTTGCTGGTTGTCCTTCCTTGGACCACTTTTGGTAGGTACTAAGCACTGCATACCGGGAACATCCCACAAGACCTGCCATTTTGGAGATACTCTGACCCAGTCGTCTATCCATTATAATTTGGCCCTTGTCAAAGTCATTCAGATCTTCCAACATATCAACTGACTAACTGACTGGTCACTTGCTGCCTGATATATCCCACCCCTTGACAGGTGCCAATGTAACAAGATAATCAATGTTATTCACTTCACCTGTCAGTGCTTTTAATGTTATGGCTAGTTGCTGTATAATTAATCCAGTTTCTAAAGGTGATTTATGCTCTATACACTTTTGTAGAAGATTTGAGTGATCTTTGCCACTTCTGTGGGGAAGACATCAACCCAAGTGATCCAGTATTGATACCTGCTTGGGTAATGGGACATGTTTATTTTTAAAGTTTCTTAATTAAAAAAAAGTAATAATACTTTTAAAAAAAATTTTTGGGCCTTTTCACTGCCCCATGCTATTATAACTGAACTTGTAACAGATAAGTGTAACCTAATGTAGCCATAAAATTATTTTTTGACATTTTAGTGATGATTTGAAACACTGTATTATCATTCAGATTGCCTGTGATGGAAGTGACGGGTGATACCACCAGTCATGTGTTGGCAACCCACCAGTGGAGGAAGATTTTTATTGCTCAGCATGTACTGAAGAATAGACCAAGGTTTACTGGGGCAGTATTTTTCAAAAGAGTCTATGTTGTTGTGTTTTTGTAACCCAGTTCTCTCTGTGGTCTAGTGTGAAAGAATGAAGTGTGATACTTGCTGAATGAAATCACTTTCCTAGGTGCACTTCTCAAGAGTAAAGCCCAGTGTGTAACTGAGATGGGTAACCTAAAATAATAGCACAGACTACTTACTGTGCAGTGCAATATAGTTGATTTGTGTCTGCAAGAAAACTTCAGGTTGTGTGACAAAAATGACATACACACGTGATAATTAAAAACACAAAAACAAAACAAAAAACAAGCAAGCAAACAAACAAAAATCTACTGTCCAAAGAAGAGGAACTAGGCATTTAAAACGGCTCTGAATCTGGTATCTTTTAAATCTGAATTAAAAACGAATCTTTTCACCAAGGCTTTTAATTAACCATGTTTGTTTTCATTGTTGGTTTGTGTTCATTATTTGGTTTGGTCTGTTTTGTTCATTTTTTTATTTTTTTTTTATTTATTTTTTTTTTTTGTACAGCACATTGGTTGACAGTTTACTGTTTTTAACTGTGCTTTATAAATAAACTGTGATTGTCATTTACAGTTCTAAGTGGGAAATATTAGTGAATTAAATATGATTAATTAAAGTTGACGTGTTATTTCTAGCTGTTACACAGAGACTGAAAACAGGGCGAAAGCTGGAGTTTGCAAGTATCTGACTAACAACTGAGCAATAAAACCTGACAACAATATATTCCATACTTTAAAGTATGTATTTAATTGCAAACTATCTAACAAAAAACGTGAAATTTGCTTTATGCTGCTGAAAAGACAATAATAACGCTATAAACTAATAACACGCGATGGTCAAGCATGCACTAGCCGCTCACCGCAGCAACGGGAGAGCGCGTCATGCTTTCGGACATGCGCACTGAAGGGGAAACAGGGGAACTCAATTCTGTTGGATGTGGAAAATGATTTCGATGGCGTATTTTATGATTGATCTTTTTTTTTCGTTAGGGATTAAAGTTATAAACGGGACATACACCTTGATCTGCACGGAGGGATTGTGTTCTTGAATATGAGCAAACATGTTGGATGTGTTTTCTCCTCTGCATCCAGATTTTTTGCAAACTGGACATCCATCCTCGAGGATAACCCCATTTTGTTTTTGGGATATCCAGAGTAATCCCACACTGCTGATTTTCATTTCTCTTTCGGCGGAGGAAGGAGATTGGTGAGATTGGTGACTGCTTCTGCAGTCGAGGAGTAAAGGAGATGCGCATGCGCAGGTGAGATTCTCCGTCTGGTCTGCATTTTTTCCCCCCAATACCATAGATAAGCAAATGTACATGGTATGATAACCGGCCATTTTCATATCACGGTATACCGTGACACCGGTATATCGCAGCAACCCTAATTTATATATGTCTGTAAAGTGCTTTGTGACAATGTCCATTGTTAAAAGCGCTACACAAATAAAATTGAATTTGAATTTAATGGTGCTCAGAGATCAGAGGTCCACTGCATCACTCCACAGGGAGGGACGATGTTCATTTGTTCATCTGTTCATCTTCGGTAACCACATTCTCCTGGTCAAGAACATGCAAAAGTCCACACAGCTGGTAACCCAAACTCAGAATTGAACCTGGGAACCTACAGCAATAAGACTTCCCACTAACCACCTTTCTGCCCAGGGCTGGTGTTAGCCTTGAGAGGGTGCATAGTGATGCCCAGGTAGCAGCAGCACGCACACTTACTGTAGTGGTACACTTCTAACTAACGCTCATGAGGTGCTCTTTTTAGAGTGGCTTGTCCAGGTAGGTGTGAGATCCAGCCATAGTCTATAGACATCTAACACCCAGTGAGCTTAGACAAGCACCCTGTGTCTTACCACCATAGGAAATAAACAGCTTATCTGAGCACCAAATGCCTGCCAACCGCTCCAAATAAAATAGGACAAGACACACACCAGGGCCAGCAAGCAATGATTTGCAGTCTCACTGTCACTGAAGGCTACACGGTCGACAGACTAATTCTGAAATTTCTGTGATGTAATCTGGATAGAAATCCTGGATTCTGGATTCTACGTCAAACTCCGGAGATACTTGGCTACCAGTTCATATACAGCAAGCTTATTGCCAGAGCATGCATGTCCAAACTTCTTTATCTAATGTGACTGCTAGCAGGAAGGCCGTTTCCAAAGACAACACAAGGGAGGTGTTCATTGCAGGGCACCTGGGGCACAGTGGCAGAAGGTGGTGCCTCGCACCCTGTCGAATTCCTCTATGGGACCCCAGAGAGAAGACAACTATGCTGCTGTGGTGTGTTGTCATATCTTCCACATGCATCTTCCACATGTCATATCTTCCTCAGTGTGTCTCCTTAGTGCAGAATGTGTATATAATGTAATTTACTTATTGTAATGGGTGTGTTGGGGTAGGGATGTTGTAGCTCAGAGGCTAAGATGTTGGCCTCCTTTTCTGAAGGTCCTGAGTTCAAATCTCAGCACCATTAAGCTACCAGTGAGCAAGGCCCTTAACCCTCAGTTGTATAAATGCTACCATTTTAAGTCTCTCTGATTAAGGGCTTCTCCCAAATGCCATAAATGTAATTATTATTAACAGTAAAAGTATAATGTATAAAAGTCTACAGCCCCCTGTTGTATCCTGAACACCTGAAGCCCCAGACCCTATTCAGGTGGCCACAGCACCTAATCTACCTAGCAACTAATCAGCTAATAAATAAGCAAGATACAGTATTTCCTGCTTAAACAATGTTTCCCAGTTAAAACTGGATTGGACTGCACTGGTGGTAGCAGGTGAGCTCACGGCTTGTTAGACGTCACCAGGAACTTTCACTTTCACATAAACGAAAGTTTGCTTCTCGAGCAGCGAGTGCGCTGTGTGCCGCGGGCGGGACTGGAAACTCGATGCCGCTTCCTCCCTTCAGCTTCGCCATTACTAGATTACATCCATTGATCAAGCTACAGAAAACGCAGGAAGCTGTTTATGAAGGGGGGATTATCTATTGGCATGTAGTTCCTGACGTCCCAGATGTGACACAGAGTTACACCCAGTGTTCTCCTGTCGGACGGGACCGGAGGAAGTAAGCAAGCCGGAGTCTGTGGGGAAAAAAAAAACAAAAACATAGTCTGCGCCGCCATTAAACAACTGCTGAAGCTTATTACCTGCAGTAAGTCTGTGTTTTCTTCTGCTGTCTGTGAAACTACTGCAAAGCGTTTGGGGAGAAGGTTAACTTAGCAGAACTTAGTTAGCTTTTTATCTTTAAAAAATGCTACTTCCGTATGGAAAAAAATCTTCATGTTTATGTAATTTCGTGACAATATGCAGAAACACGCGTTGGAAAACAACATTAGAAATATATGTAAAAATAATTTGACATGCTTAATAGGCTATGGGCTGAAATTAATTGAAAAAATCCGGTGCAGTGAAGCAGAGTGATTAGCCTATAGGACGGAATGCGCACTGTAGCCCATTCTTTTGTGGAGACTTAGCAATATTTGCTTTCAGGATTTGTGTTGTTTTTCAATAGGCTATAATTAATGCTGTATTATCAGATAAGTGTCCATTTTCTACTTTAGTGACTCGTTGTCTACTGGTGTAATTGTCTATTATAAAATACTAAATAAGTATTTAGAGACACTAAAGGGGAAAAAGTCCTGTTTGCAAGCTATTTAAACTATTAGTTATACAAGTATTACTATGCTTTTTTTGTTTGTTTGTTTGTTTGTTTTTTGGGCGCTTCTTTGATGAGCTGATGCCTCTTTGTCCATAGAGGTCGCTGTTGCTAATGATTGACGATTCTACACACACACACACACACACACACACACACACACACACACACACTCCAAGACAAAAATGTTTCCCACACAGGTTTGTGTGTGGTTTAGGCTTATTGCTGAACACTGTTTTTTCTTTTTTCTTTTCTTTTATTATCACCATTTGGCAAACATTTCTTCACTAATGCACCTATGCTCCCTACCCTGCGTAAAAATGTGAAGGTGTAGCAATCAAACTGTGAAAATGATTATTTTCCTCCAGTACTGGTTTATGATCAAGTGGGACTCCATGTCCTATCAACTCGTCCTGTTACTCTGTGGAAAAGTTTGTTGTTTTGTTGTTTTTTTTGTTGTTTTTGACATAATTTCTCTCTGTTCTCAAGTATATTCGTACATATCAAATGAGAAGATAAGAAAATGGGACATTGTGTGTACTACATGTTACTTACTAAAGCCCAATACTGGGAGATTTCATGTCATGTCATGCAGATGCATGTCCTCACCGAGTAGCAGGGAGGATTCTGCGCCCTCGTCCTTTCTGCTGTCTTTGAACTCCATCACCTTTTAGCATTCACAGAGTAATAAGAAAAAGAAGGACAATTCTGACACGTCCAACAGGGCTGCAAGCAACTTCTGCGCTTGGAACCATAAGAATGTACTTATAAACTGAGCACTTATCTGTTTCACACTGTTATCTGTTATCTGTTTCAAACTGTGATGAATTTACTAGTTGCATATTTGCACTATTTGTCCATATAGTACACAATAATAGAAGGGGTTTATTTATAAATTGCACTATCCATTGCACCCGGGTGAGGATAGGTTCCCTTTTGAGAAGTGGTGCAACAGATCACTAAACTCACGGTTCGGATCATATTAAGGAGTTTGAGTCATGGATCGGATCATTTTTTGGACCGGAAAAAAAATTGCTTTTCATTTATTACTGAAAGCTTATTTTAAGTACTTCGATACCACAGCAAAAACTACTAGCTTAACTAATAATGTCAGTAATAAAACATGAACAATTACACAATTACAGACATGGATGAGTAACAAAGTTACAAATAAAGTCAGTAACGGTAGCATTCAGGTGCAGAAATGTAATAATTAAGTGTAAAAGAGCACAATAGTGCTCACTGCATAAGTTACATACAGATGAATCTTTGTTAAAGCTGTGGTGTTGTTTGATTAGCAGACAGAAGCTAATTGTTTACAGGCTGCTGTCTCTTTAATACCAAATGCACGGACCCAGTACTGACACACATCCTGTTTCTTTCTCAGCTGTTTACGTTTTCGATTAACCGACTGTGTTTACCAGAATACTTGCCAAAACGGGTATTTTAACATAACTTTGTGTGTGTGTGTGTCCGTTCAAGCGCAAAGAGGCATGAAAAGAGGAATCAATTCGGTGTTCACGCGCTGTCTGAATCGCGCCTCTCTCTTTCCGCGTGTGCGCGCTTCGGGTGTGCGCGAGAAAACGGCGCGCGAGTCCCGATTCGAGTTCTCTTCCGCGTGAATTTTTTTTTTTAATTGCTTGAATGTGTAAATTGGCAAGACAAAACACCAGCAAATGATAAACTTTCACTCTATGATGGATAAACCTAACAGTTAATCCGCGAATCACATGCGTGCCGAACCGTGGGGCCTGGTCTACCCCTACTTTGGAGCCTGGTTCCTCTCAAGGTTTCTTCCTCATATCGTCTCAGGGAGTTTTTCCTTGCCACCGTCGCCTCTGGCTTGCTCATTAGGGATGAATTCACATATTTACAGTATATTTTTTGAATCCATTTATTTCTCTAAAGCTGCTTTGTGACAATGTCCATTGTTAAAAGCGCTATACAAATAAAATTGAATTGAATTGAATTATCTCTCCTCTCATGTTCCTACTGATGCCTACTTGGCATATTCAATGCGCATAAGCTATTCTATAAACTGGAAAGCTAGAAAATTGCATTAATGAATCTGATGGTGTGGAAGGCAGTGATGACAAATATAACATGCCCAGTGATGCAAGACTGATGTTTTATGAATTTATGCAAAATTTGGTTTATTTAGTGCTGCATTATTGTGAGCTGAAACACCCTACCGTCCATTTTCTTTTTAGGTCCTAGTGTGTCATGTTTGCAGATGAGTCAACATGAGTGGACTGGGGGAGTTTTGTTCTACTTAAGTAAGTAATTCATTCATACAAAGGTTAATCTTTGTTTTCTGTTTATTTTTCTCTGTATCTGACAGCATCTATTAGGTTAAATGTGAATATAATTGCTTTTATATTTCTACACTTCTGCACTTGTGACTTTACATTACATTGTATGTAATGATATATTATGTATATATTATATTTTTAGGTGCTTTGAGGTGAATCCTGGAGCATAGTGACTGTGCAGAAGACATAATGGGCAAGTATTAAGATAAGAGAATAAGCATTTCTTGCCAAGATTTCTTTGTTAAGACGTTGTTGTGATTTGATTTATTATTTCCCTACAGAAGACCTTTATAGCACTCCAGTTGAAAAATGGTCAGAGTCCATGGTAAGCAACTGGTTAACCTCAATAGGAGTGAAAGAAACTTACATTAAAAAACTTAATGAAGAGGAAGTAGATGGCAGAATACTCCTAGAAATCACAGAGGAATTTCTGAAAAAAGAGACTGGAATGAAATCTGGCCCAGCACTTTTGATAATTAAGAAAAGAAACGAGTTAGTTAATATTTTACAAAAGGCTCAGAAGCAGAAGGATAATGCACCTGAAAGGACTGCTGAAAACGATGATCAAGGAGCAACATCCATCAAGACCACAAGCTACAAGGAGCAACATCCATCAAGACCCAGGTCAATAGCCAGCAGTCCACAGAAAGGACAGGAGAAAGAGGATTCTTTGATTGTTCCAACAACAAAAAGAGATTCCAAGCCACGACCTTTTGGTAAAACGGGCATTGACTATACATATGTGAAGCACAATGTTCTTCAGCCTGAAACAGGTGTCATTGATCTTATTACACCATGTCATGAGTACAAGGCATTTACTACTGCTGCTACTTTAGACCGCCAAAGACTTCAAGCAAAGCTGGCAAGGGAAGTTTTAAAATTTGCCACGGGATGCATAAACATTAGATCAAATGGCACAATACACTTTGGTATAATGGACAGCCAGGAAAATACTGGCTATGTGCATGGTGAAATCATTGGCATTCCCATTAAAGGAAAGGACATGTATGTTGATGCACTGGATCACATTGAAAGGAGTTTCTCCAACTCTGACAGTGAGCTTGTAAGGCAGTGTATTCGACCACCTCAGTTCATTCTAGTAGTTGACCCAAACAGCAAAGATGAACGCTATGTAGTTGAATTTGACATTGTACCTTCCTTGAGCATTGTGAGGAATAGGGTTTTTTCTGTCCACTTGCCCAACTTCAGAGAGAAGTCCAATAAAGTTGAATATGAAAAAGGAACAATTTATCGCAGGGTTGGCTCCAAAACAGAACCAGTTGTTGAAACAAATGAATTTTACCAAGTAGTCCATAACAGAGATGCTCAAAGAGAAGAGGCTGAGCAAGCACATTGTATCACAAGCCCAGAAACTTGCCAAGATCTTGGAAGAAAACTCGTCATGCTTGTAACAAGTGGGAAGAAACTAATGGAAAAGGAGAAATGGTACATACTTGTCACAAACAAGTTTCCAAAGGAAGATCTAAATCACATTGGTTTCTTACT